CCAAGGACATGTATTCTGCTTCTGTGCTTGAACGTGACACAGTAGCTTGCTTTCTAGCACTCCAGGAAATAAGATTGGATCCGAAGAATACTGCAAAACCTCCAGTTGATCTTCTGTCATCACTACATCCTGCCCAGTCAGCATCAGAGAATGCACTAATAAGAGAGGAATTAGACTGTTTGAAATGTAGTCCTATTCCCATAGTATGCTTCACATATCTCACAATTCTCTTAACAGCTGCCCAATGTGCAGAGGTAGGTGCATGTAGGTATTGACAAACCTTATTAACAGCAAACGAAATGTCTGGACGTGTGAGAGTTAGATATTGCAATGCTCCCACAGTACTCCTATACCTTGTGCTCTCCTCCTCTTGAAGTGGCTCACCTTCATATGCAGAGTGCTTTTCTGAGGAAGATAAAGGTGTGGGCATTGGCTTACAATTCTTCATTCCCATGCGAGACAGAAGCTCGTTTACATATTTTTCCTGATTTAACACAATGCCATCTTGAGTTTTCTTGACTTCAATGCCTAGGAAAAAGTGCAAATCACCTAGATCCTTCAAGGCAAACTCTAAGCTCAAATCATGTAGCAGAGCATTAGTAGCATTTTGTGAAGAACTTGCAACTATGATATCATCCACATATATGTGCACAAAAATGACTACTCCTGCCTTGTTAAAAATGAACAAGGACGTATCAGCCTTGGAAGCAATAAAGCCAAGATATTTCAATTGTAAGTTCAGTCTGGAATACCATGCTCTGGGTGCTTGCTTTAAACCATAGAGTGCCTTATCAAGCTTGCAAACATAATGTGGTAATTTCTTACTCTTATATCTAGGTGGTTGTCTCATAAACACTTCCTCTTCTAGAACACCATGCAAAAACGCGTTCTGTACATCTAGCTGCCTTAAGCTCCATCCTCTAGACACAACAATAGCTAGCACAAGTCTGATAGTTGCAGCCTTCACAACAGGACTAAATGTGTCCTCATAGTCAATACCATAACGTTGCTTAAAGCCCTTTGCAACTAGACGTGCCTTATACCTGTCAATGGAGCCATCTGCCCTTTTTTTGATTCTATACACCCATTTACAGTCAATGATATTTTTACCTCTCTGGTTTGGTACAAGATGCCAGGTTTTGTTCCTCATGAGTGCAGAATATTCCTCATCCATCGCCTTTTTCCACTTAGGATCATCAAGTGCACTATTCAACATTGTTGGTTCACCTGAAATACATAGCATCCCATATGGTATAGTTTCATCTTTTCTTATTTTAGGGTTCCGTATACCTTTCTGTAGCCGAGTCATAACTCGTGAAGAAATTTCTGGCTGAACCACTGGAATGCTTGCCATAGAGGATCCGGGCGAATCTGCATGTGCTGATGCAGCAGGCGAATCTGTCGCCATATGCGTAGGAGATCCTGCGGCCATCGGTGTGGCCGCTCCGCCTGCAGACACACGGGTGCCACCCATTCGATCTGACGCAGGAGATCCGCTGCCTGACCGCAACTGGGCGCGCGCGTGATGAGGGGGATCCGGTCCCGCTGCTGGTCCCGCCTGTAGGCGACGTGGCTGCGCGGGAGAGGCCCTCCCTAGAGTCTGGAGTGGAGCCGGCTGGGGCGCGATCCGATGACGATCCGCTCGCGCGATCCGAGGACTGCGCGCGCACAGGAGTGCCAGGCGCCGCCAGATCTTCTTCGTTATCTGTGCCAAGTTCGTCCTCTTCCGCAACATGCAATATTGGGTCAAATTGAGCCATATCTTCGAAATTTTGATCATTTTGAACACCGTTTTCTCCAGGAACCTGCACAGGCATAAGAGAAGAACCAGTACCAGCAATGACATCATCACATTGATTAGTACAATTGTTGTCGCCCCCATGATGAAAAGACCGAACATGTTGAGGAAGAAGGAGGATTTCTTTGCGGAGAAGTGCACCGGCATTTGGATGAAGAGATGAAAAGGGAAATACAGACTCATCAAAAACAACATCTCGAGATATATAGACCCGACCAGTCGGAACATCAAGGCATTTGACCCCTTTATGCATGGGGCTATAACCTAAGAAAACACATCTTTTTGAGCGGAAAGCAAGTTTACGTGTGTTGTAGGGTCGAAGATTGGGCCAACATGCACAACCAAAAATGCGAAGAGATGTGTAGTTAGGTGTGACACCTAGGAGTCGTGTAATGGGTGTTTCAAACTTGATGACTTTGCTTGGAAGCAAGTTGATAAGATATGTGGCAGTTAAAAAGGCTTCATCCCAAAATTTGAGTGGCATGGATGCATTTGCTAATAGTGCAAGCCCCATATCAACTATGTGACGGTGCTTTCTTTCGGCAGACCCGTTTTGTTGGTGAGCATGAGGACAAGAGACATGATGGGATATGCCAAGTTTTTGGAAGAAAGAGTTCAATTTTTCATACTCACCACCCCAGTCACTTTGCATAGCAATGATCTTGGAGTTCAGTTTGCGTTCAACAAGATTTTGGAAATTAATAAAAACTTGGAATACATCAGATCTTTTCTTCAGTAAATAAATCCAAGTAAATTTACTATATCCATCAATAAAGTTTACATAATAAGAAAATCTACCAACTGAAGTAGGAGCTGGCCCCCATACATCTGAAAAGATAAGTTGTAGTGGGGCAGTAGACACACTAGTAGAAATATGACAAGGTAATTGATGACTTTTTGCTTGTTGACACGGATCACAAACTGACTCAACACTAGGCTCATAATCGAGTTTATTTTTGCTAAGAACATATTTAACTATGACTGAAGATGGATGACCCAAGCGACTATGCCACCTTGATGATGAAAGCTTGGTGACAATATTTTCTTGTTTATTGGACCACGAAGATGATGATGATGATGATATGAGTGGGTAGAGGCCTCCTACACACCGTCCTCTAAGAATGATTCTCCTTGTTCTCAAGTCCTTAACCAAGAAAAAATAAGGATAGAACTCTATAAGAACATTGTTATCAAGAGTGAATCGATGAACGGAAACAAGATTTTTTGATGTTTGAGGAACGTGCAAGACATTTGACAAATGTAAATTTTTCACGGGGTTTTCAACAATTGAACTACCAATGTGTGTGATATCCATAGCAGAACCGCTTGCCGTGCGAATTTGGTCGCCTCCATTATACTTTTCCCGCATCGTCAACTTGTCAAGTTCACCTGTGATGTGGTTTGTTGCTGCACTGTCGGCATACCAATTTGTGTCCACGCCATATGAGGCAGCATGTGCCTCCTTTTCTTCTGGCTCGTTCTCCTCATAACGCCACCAGCAGACCCGTGCACCTCCTGGATGATGTCTGTAGCATATTTGGCACTCAGGGTAATCATGCTGCTGCTCACGCACCTGGTGCTGCTGCTGCTGTTGTCGGGGACGTCCTCTGAAGCCGTTGCCACCGCCGGAGGAAGAAGGTTGGCGGTCACCGCGGTCACCACGGCCACGCCCCCGTCCTCCTCGCCCACGGGATCTGCCGCGGGATTGTCCACGGCCTCTGTAGACTGCAGATGAGTGGAATCCGCCCGAAGACGAATCACCTAGCATCTCCATCCTTTGATCAAAGGCAGAGATTTGGGCGAAGAGATCATCAGCGGTGATGGTGTTCTTGACAGCACCGATCGCCGCCACCACAGAGTCATAGTCGCGGTCCAGTCCGGCCAGGATGTAGTCCACCATCTCCGGATCAGAGACGGGACGACCGGCAGCAGCTAGTTCATCCCCGAGACTCTTCATCTTCTCCATGTACGCCGAGCTTGACATGCTGCCCTTCTTGGTGTTGGTGATGGCGATTCTCAGATTGGTAATCCGGGATTGTGACTGTGAGGCGAAGAGGTTTGTCACCGTCGTCCAGAGCTCGAAGGTGGAGTCCTTCCCAACGACCTGCGCAAGAATTTCTGGCGACATGGAATCAATATTTTAAATAGCGCGCTACAAAATATAGCGAGGCCCTTCTCTAAATGCTACACAAGTTATAGCGTGCTATATTTCAAAATAGCGTTTGCAAAAAAAATTAAATATATCTAGAAATAAAGTATTTAAGCAACTAAATTTTTCATAGGAGCAAGCAATATATGCATCTGATAAAAGGAGTGAGAAAGCTAGTGGGAGAATTTGATAAAAGGAGTGAGAAACCTAGTGGTCGTGGGTTGGTTTTGGCCTGCTGGGCCTGCTGGGCTGTGCTTATTTCAGTTTTGCATGGTCTGCATGTTATAACGTTACAACGTTGCAACGTTACAGTGTGTGTAGCGCGCTAATTACGCGATTAGCGACGTAGCGTCCGATTTTGCCAAATCGTAACGTCTCCCTTCCAAATATGCTATAACCGCGTTATAACGGCGAAATAGCGTGCTATTTAAAATATTGATGGAATTGAGGAGATAGGACAGGACCTGCTGGTCTTTGGCGATCCAGGGCCCGTACAGCGGATTCGGCTCTAGGGCCGTGGTCTTGTCAGCCTTCGTGACCTCCACCATCTTGGGCGGAGCGGCATCTGTGTTGTCGAGGAGTCCAGTCACCTACGCTCCTCGCAGGGCTGGTAGCACCTGAGTCTTCCAGAGGATAAAGTTTCCTCGTGCGAGCTTCTCAGATGGCGGCGAACCGAGGTTGAGGGCGACGCCGGCAGAGGAAGCCATGGAGACGGTAGTATGCGGTTTCTAGGTTTTGATTTGTGGGGTATGTGGTTGTCTAGGGTTTGTGGCTAGATGTATGAGAAGATGTGGCTCGATGGGGAGTGGGTCGTGTATATATTGAGGGCAAGCCTGCCTTGACATACAAGGAAGAGATACAAGAGTTTGAGAAGGATACGAGAAGGAGAAGGAAGGTAGGTTGAGATTACATATTTTCTCTAACAATATGAACAGGACGAGTGGACGACCGTATCCAGCATCTCACTACTTTTCTCTTCAGCCTCTAAAAGAACACCACTGGCCTGACGACGTAACTAGCACGTACTCACAGCATTCCTCCACACCACTCGTGATGGCTAGATTCGCTAGTCCAGCCCTCCTTCCACTCATCTCTCTCGTTCTGCTGCTGCGCTCCTGTGCATCATCATCGGCACAACACACGCTGGGCGCCGGCTCATCCCTGTCAGTGGAAGACCACGAGCGGCCCTTCCTGGTGTCGCCGGACGCCACCTTCTCCTGCGGCTTCCTCCCAGCCGTCGACGTCGACAACGCCTTCTACTTCTCCGTCTGGTTCACCGCGGCCAAGAACCGGACCGCCATCTGGACGGCCAACCCTGGCGCCCCCGTGAACGGCCGGGCCTCCAGAATATCCTTCGGCCACGACGGCGCGCTGGCCCTCGCCGACGCCAACGGGACGACCGTGTGGGACAGCAAGACCGGCGGCAACAAGCGCCTCGTCGTCTCCCTTCTCGACGCCGGCAACCTTATCATCACGGACCCGGAAGATTCCACCGGCGTTGCCGCGTGGCAGAGCTTCGACTGGCCGACGGACACCTTGCTCCCGTCGCAGATACTGTCCAAGGAGAAGAAGCTCGTCGCCGGCTACTACACCCTCTACTACGACAACGACAACGTGCTGCGCCTCCTCTACGACGGCCAGGAGATCGCCAGCATCTACTGGCCGGACCCGGACCTCGGCGTGTTCGGGAGCGGCCGGACCAACTACAACAGCTCACGGGTCGGCGTGCTCGACGACGCCGGGGTGTTCCTCTCCAGCGACAACCTGCGAGTCGAGGCCACCGACCTGGGCGTCACCGGCGCCAAGAGACGGCTGACCGTCGAGCAGGACGGGAACCTAAGGATGTACAGCCTGGACGCGGCCGGAGGATGGACGGTCACGTGGGCGGCGCTGAAGCAGCCGTGCTCCGTCCACGGGCTGTGCGGCAAGAACGCCATCTGCGAGTACCAGCCGTCCCTCCGGTGCTCCTGCGCGCCGGGGTACGAGAGGGTGGACCGCCGGGACTGGAGAAAGGGCTGCGAGCCGACCTTCACCACCAACTGCAGCGAAGCCATGGCGCCGGAGCGGTTCAAGTTCGTCAAGGTGGCGTACACCGACTTCTACGGCTACGACCTCTGGTTCAACCAGTCCGTCACGTTCCAATACTGCAAGAGCATCTGCTTGAACACGTGCTCCTGCGTCGCCTTCTCCTACCGGACGGATGGCCAGGGCAGGTGCTACCCGAAAGGCGTCCTGTTTAACGGCTACACCTCGCCGGCGTTTCCCGGAAGCATATACCTCAAGGTGCCTAGCGATCTCAACGCCTCGGCACCGACGCCGTCCGGGGGCCTCGACTGCAATCATAATGGTTCCGGTGCCGCCATCGTCCGGCCATACGCGTACACGTACGGGGTGCCAGGCAGCCACACGAACTGGTCCTACGTTTTCGCCTTCGCCGCAGCACTCGGATTTCTCGAGCTTCTCCTTTTCTTCGTCGCCATGGCATGGTGGTTCCTGTCAGGGCATGAGAGCATCCCATTCCCCAGCTCTCTGGAGGCATCAGGCTATAGGCTGATCTTGGGGACCCAGTTCAGGAGGTTCACGTATCGGGAGCTCAAGAGTGCAACCGGGAACTTCAACGAGGAGCTTGGCCGGGGCAGCTCCGGCGTTGTGTACCGTGGCGTGCTCGACAAGAGCACCGTCGTGGCGGTGAAGAAGCTGGCAAACGTGGTGCAGGGCGAGGAGGAGTTCTGGGCGGAGATGACGGTGTTTGGGAGGATCAACCATATCAACCTCGTGAGGATTTGGGGGTTCTGCTCTGAGGGGAAACACAAGTTGTTGGTGTACGAGTACGTGGAGAACGGGTCTCTCGACAAGCACCTGTTCGGCGACGATATTGGTAAGGCGCTGGCATGGAGTGAGCGTTTCAAGATCGCTTTGGGTGCGGCCAGGGGCCTAGCCTACCTCCACCACGAGTGCCTCGAGTGGGTCATCCACTGCGACGTCAAGCCGGAGAACATCCTGCTCACGCATGACCTCGACCCAAAGATCTCTGATTTCGGGCTGGCCAAGCTTTCCGGGAGGAAGGCCATCGGCGACGGCGTACAACTCTCCCACATGAGGGGGACGACGGGGTACATGGCACCCGAGTGGGCGCAGAGTCTGCCCGTGGACGCCAGGGTCGACGTCTATAGCTATGGCATCGTGCTTCTAGAGATCCTGGTCGGGAGTAGGATATCTGACCAAACGACCAACGGGGATCATTTGGAGATGTGCCAAATCGCACATGCACTAAAGACGGTGGTGGCGACCGGAGATATCGTGTCATTGCTAGATAGCAAGCTGGACGGGCAATTCAACCCTCGGCAGGCCATGGAAATGGTGAAGATCTCCTTGGCGTGCATGCAGGAAAGGAGCAACCGGCCGACCATGGATGACATCTCGAAAGCTCTTACAGCCTGCGATGACGAGGACGAGCACCCTGCCTACTTGCGGTGACTTCGATTCGTCGCTATATTCCCCTGGATCTACTTCTTGTAGCCTACATCTTGTTCTTGCTATATTGTTGTACCGGTATAAATAGTTATAAAGTATTAATGCATATAGCTAACTATTTATATGAGCTGGCTTTTAGATTGATTGTAGTAGATGGCATGTCTACTCAACACAACCAAGGTGCTCTACTATTAGGCATGCTTCGATAAAAACAATAGAGATGTCTTTGTTTTAGCCTACTATTTGTTCTTGCTAGTACATTTATGCATACCTAATTGTTTATAGCAAGATTAAATGCTTTGTTGTATTATAATTCTATAACTGCCCCGTTATGATAAAACAAAACTATTAAAATATGTTTGTCACATCTAAAGAGACTTGCTTGACTTGGAGTCCGCGATAGTAGGTTTGCTTGACTCGGAGTCTCGAGTCTCCGCCCGTTGCTTTCACTTAACTTGTACCAACCGGTGACGACCCCTCCTCCATCTCACTAATATTTCATTCTTCGTACTGTGGAATTAAATCATCGCGTGGCCCCGACCATACGAACATGTGAAGGAACATTAATACGACTACGATGGAGAGCTGCTTCACTCCGGTCCAAGTCCTCTTCTTGCTTTCATGGGTGACGCTTCTTAACTATGTACAGTAATAAGAACTTAATGTAGTACACCAAACGAAACTGAATTAAGCGCGCGTACGATCCAGCTTGATTCCATAGTCCAGTACGTGTAGGTCTCCTCCAAATCGAGATGTATGTGTCAAATTTTTGTTTCCAATTTTTTCACACTTTGAAATATTTTTTCGGTGGCAAGAGTGCGCGCTCCCATGTGCCAAAGCGAATTTCTGTACATGTCCTCCTCTTATACCTGCAGCGTGTACATGTTGCTTGGGCCCCGTGTACGGTGATGCTATTTTGGGATTGCCATGTAGAGTTGGAGGACAGAGAAACCATAAAAATGTTAGGGTGTGTTTGGTTGAGGTCACCAAATAGAATGTTCTAAGGGCTTATTTCAGTGTTTGGTCCATCGGACAAAAAGAAACGGAGCGGGAACGGCATATTCACCCTTTATGCCAAATCGAGTGATTCCTCCAAATCGAGCAGGCCATGTGAAACAGCTTGCTCGTGTGTCTCGCTCAGCTCCCCGCTTATGCTCCCATGAGAGGATGAAATCATAATTTTGGCCCTTTTGGGTAACTTTAGCACAAAATAAACCTAGCTGAAAATTTTGGCACAACCTGACTTCTATATTGCAACATCAAGCTGCCCGATGCTGCCACAGCACTAAAAAACGCCACAAACCCATGATGTTTCATCTTGGTAAACACCACAACCCATGGTATTTCACCTTGGAAAACGTTGATAAATTCATAATTTATATGTGCAGAAGAAAGGCCAGAAGGTTGGTCGTTTATCAAAAAGGTAAGATCATGCTAAAATTCTAAAAATACTCAAATCGTGTTAAAGTTTCCCCAAAGGGTCAAAACAGGGATTTTGTTCCGACATACTTCATAGGAGTATATTATACCTAAAATATATCAAAATAATTTGATACATGCCAAATTCAAATCATATCTTAATTTTACACCATATTTTTAACCAAATATTAATATCATATAAACCGAACCATCTAAACTGAATAGAATGCACAGGGTTACTCCTCGCGTGCCCCGATCGAATATGAATCGTCAATCTGTCATTTTCGAGCCTAGTTGTCCAAAAGTACTGATCAAGACTATAGGCTTCCGGTAAAAAGTGTCATTGAGCCCCTAAAATCCTCAGGCATCTTCATTAAGTCTATTAGAGATCCTGTGGTTGGGTCATAAAGTTGTAGGCTGCACCGAACATCATATAGATCCGTCGATCATCGCCTTCCACTCCTCGCTTTCGAGGTCGAAAGAGGCTATGTGGTTCCAGCCAGGATTCACCGGACGTGTACCATGGGCATGAGGGCCACCATCCATGAAGTGGAGGATGCCGTTGACGGTGGCCGTGCAATTGGAGCACCAACATGTAAGGATAGGGGGCTCCGGTCTCTGCCTCCACGTCGTGGGTTCTGCTGTGGCCGTGGCCGCGGCCTCAATTGTGGCAACCTGGCAGATCTGGCCATCGCCAAGCGCCGTGACGGCGTTTCGGAGACGGACGACCTTGTACGCACCGGACGGAGTGGCACGGCCCAAGCTGGAGTGGCAAAACTCATCGTGCATGAAATCGTACGGGATTCCATTACAGTCAGCTTTGGGGTATTCTATGGATGCCTCTCCACCGACGGTGACCACCCGCCCGGTCGCCGGATCGATCACCCTAGCGCCATGCACACCTTGGTCGACAAAGACAAGGTCGAGGCCTGTGCGCATCAGCTTTGCACTCTTGACGTCTTTCACCACTCTGAGGACGTTGCCGTCGGCCGTGTCAATCACCCGCAGCTCGAGAGATGCCCGGGGAAAGCGTGGCGGTCTGGACGGGTCGAATTTCTCGAGTGGGCCCAGTTTTCCGAACACACCGACGACGAGGGGGGTGTCGGCGGCGGCGGCACGGGATCGCTGTGCGGCGACGAAGGCTGGGTCGGAGAGGAGGGCGCGCCAGCCCTTGGACACGCACCGGAACCGGCGCAGGGTCTTCACCGGAAGCCTGGTTAGCACCTCCAAGATGATGTCCACCGGCAGCGAGATCGAGATGACGACGGCATCGGGAATGTCTTCTTCTGGGTTCACCTCGGCCGTTGTTTCCTCGTTGCAGGTGCGGCCGGAAGGAGAGAAACACGAACTCGGCAGCTCATGAGCCCAAGGATTGCCCATGTCGATTGCGCTGTTGTTTATTTCTTCTCTTTTTCTGCTTTTTGTTTTGTCTCAAATTGTCCACAATATTACAAATCCCACGCGGGCACATGTATATGTACTCATTCGGTTACCTAAACCGACTTAGACACGTACCAAACACTAGCCTACACGTACTTGGGTTTTTTCACTCCAAAAGCTACACGGAGACCACATACGTATATATCTTCTATTCCATCCATTCCGAATTACTTGTCGCACGTATAGATGTATCTAGATGTATTTTAGTTTTAGATACATCTATTTCAGCGACGAGTAATTTGGGACGGAGGAAGTAGTTACTAAGCTCCCTTGAAATCCTCGCCTCTGGTGGCTCGGAGCTGACGGGAGTGTTGTTGGCCCATTTATCAATGTGTGCCTATTGCTTAAGTGTGTACTCCCTCCTTTCCGGTTTATAGTACTTAGGCTGGTCACAATGGGTAAGAATATAAGCTAGTAACTTACACATTTTCCTAGACTATGTTACTACCTCCATAGTGGGTAGGAACATCTATGTAGTGTCATGCAACGATGTATTTATTAGGTTATAGATTCATTGTTTCTTGGAGTGTGTGATGTTCCGGTAACTTAGCTAGTTACCACAAGCACATCTCTCTTCATTAAATACGTGCCACATAAGCAAAGTTGTATTGGAGTGTGTGATGTTACTCCTAAGTTCCTCCCCACTGTGACTAGCCTTATCTCAAAATTTTAGTTTTTCCATTTTATAAGGCTCAATTTGATTGTTTCCCATCACATGTTCAGATTTCAATGTGCATTAAATCATTGCATGCAAGTATTAAGAGAAAATTGACCAATGCATGTAATTTATGCATGCATGCATTGCAATTAATGCATTGGTAACATACTTTTTTGAGGAAAACAAGAGCATTAATTGGGTGCTTTTGCAAACTACAAAAAGTATTCCACCACTCATCATCTACCTTGGTTGGTGAGATTTTTGAATTAAGCCTTATAAACCGGAAAGGAGGGAGTATGTTATTGTATCTCTCAACTGCAAAGTATATGTATATTATTCTTCTATTTCTTTTTACTTCATATATATACATTGTCTTAAGTCAAACTAAGTGTAAGTTTGACCAAGTTTCCAGAAAAATATTAGCATGCACAATACAAAATCAATATCATTAGATCTATCACGCAATTTTTTTAAATATAGTCTTCACAAAGTTTGACGTCAGAGAAATCTAATACATGGAATAAAAAGAAACAAATGCAGTATATAAGAACGTCACTGTGATTCTCATTTTTCAGCTAGCTACCCACAACATCACATGCCTGACTTTTAAATGTGCATGTTTGACTTTTTTAATATTTTTGTCATTTACAAAAGATAATCAGTAAGAGCATCTACAGCCGGACGCCTTAAACCATCTTTCATATGCCCGCGAACGCGCCCGGTCAGTGACCGGACAGGAGAGAAAAGGAAAAAAGTTACCCAACCAGACCCCTCATATCTTCCCTATATGTCCAGGCTGTCCACGAACCGTCGTATCCATCTCAAATATGGGGAGGATATGAGGGCTCGTGGACACGCCCGGGTGCGCCCTGTCAATCCGCCACGTACGACGCGGCCCCGTCCTAGACTACATTTTTATTTCTTTATTTATTCTTTTCTTTCTCTCTCTTCATCTTCATCAATCATGTGCAAGTGACGGGACATATGAGAAAAAAATGAGAATTGTGGATGCACTGATGAACAAAAATAGGGGCTTAAAATGGACCCGATCACTGATCGAGCACGTCCGGATGTGTTTGAGGGATCAAATTAGAGGTATGTGGCTGAAGATGCTCTAAACATGACCAAATGCTCCCTAGAGCCGAATTAAAACTCTCACAATTTCATAATGTAGTGCATTTTTTAAAAAGTCAAACCACATGAACTTTGACCAATTTTCTAAGAAAAACATTTACTGTTGGGGAACGGAGCATAAATTCAAAAAATTCCTACGTGTCACCAAGATCTATCTATGGAGAAACCAGCAACGAGGGGAAGGAGAGTGCATCTACATACCCTTGTAGATCACTAAGCGGAAGCGTTCAAGAGAACGGGGTTGAAGGAGTCGTACTCGTCGTGATCCAAATCACCGGAGATCCTAGTGCCGAACGGACGGCACCTCCGCGTTCAACACACGTACAGCCCGGTGACGTCTCCCATGCCTTGA